GTCTGAGGGGGAGAAGTGGAACTTCATTAGCTCACTTCGCCATTTTCAGTGCTATTTGATACAGATTATATTTACACTACACCCACCACTGGACAATGCAAACACTAGAGGTCGTTTGTGAATGCGTGTAGCTGACAAACAGAACAGGTGTGTATCGACCGGGGCAGCAGATTCAGCAGTGGTCGAACACACCTGTGTTTGTGGAGTGCACTGCTTCAGGCACTGAAGGCATGTCCGAGTTTATTGATGCATGAGTAAAATGATCTCACAACTTGTGTTACATTAAACATCTAAATAATTATTGATCACACAGCACAGAATAAAGAAACAAAATAAATAGAAACTTGAGCATATCTGTGACTGAAAGCTGCTTTACTGTGTGTGTATAACTGAAGGCAGGTGGGATTATTATTGTTCTCAAAAGTAGACGGCAAAATATTCTGCACTCTAAACAAAGTATATAGTGATGTATAGATGTACAGATATTTAGAAAAAAAAAATCTATCCATCTATATAATATATATTTCCATTTAAAATAAATGCTGTTCTTTTGAACTTTCTATTAATAAAAGAATCCTGAAAAATATATCACGGTTTCCACAAAAATATTAAGCAACACATCTGTTTTTTAATAATGATAATAATAAGAAAGGTTTCTTCAACATATTAGAATGATTTCTGAAGGATCATGTGACACTAAATACTGGAGTAATGATGCTGAAAATTCAGATTTGACATCACAGGAATAAATTACATTTTAAAACGTCAAAAATAGAGCATTTTAAATTGTAATAATATTTCACAATATGACTGTTTCTACTATATTCTTGATCAAATCAATTTAAAAATGAATGAATGAATCAAAGATGTCTTAAGCATTTATAATTTGTGTTTTCTTCAACTTTTAAATCACTCTGAATACTGAATATTGGACCTCAATTTACCCCCCCGCTCCAGATGTGTCTGCTTATTTTGTCAACAAATGTGTGTCCTTACTGTGGTCAATGTAAAAGGTTCTTCCGTCTGCGTGCACTCGTTCCTCCCACCCAGGCTGTGGAGATTCAGAGAGAAAGAAAGATGTTAAAATAATCCAGATGAGACCACCGGGCCTGATAAACCACTCATTCACCAACACAATAACTGTAACAGATAATGTGATGGGAGAAAGGAACAGAAAGATATGAAGATTCCTCAGTTCAGTGTGGGAGAGCTTCCACGACAGGGTTCCACTGGCATGCAGAAGAGAGTTTGTTACACACTCTCGCTGTGACAAACACACACTCGCAATAACATACTGCCCCTCTTTTGAGAACGGAGACCCCGAGACCTGCAAACCCACGTCAATACCAACATCACGGGCAACTGCCAGGCCTGACATAAATCACAGCCAGGGAGACACATCCAACAATTCATAACCCACAACATCAAGGGAAGCTGTTTGACGACCCACACACGGGATCCGGAGAGGGGACAAGACCTTCGTTCACGACTGAGAGACTGTGAGCCAGCACTCAAGACAGGTGCGACACCATGGCTCTCGTGCTGAACGGGCATCAGCCAAAACTGGTATTGAATGAAGCACAGGATGGATGGATGGATGGATGGATGAATGAATGTGATGGATGGATGCACATGATGAATGGAAGGATATGGATGGATGAACACGTTGGATATGTATGGATGCACGGGATGGATGGATGGATGGATATGGATTGAACCACGTGATGTATGGATATGGATGGATGCACGTGATGGATTGATGGATGGATGCATGCAATGGATGAATGGATGCACACGATGGACGGATAGATGGATGGATGCAGGTGATGGATGGATTGATGGATGGATGCACATGATGGATGGATTGATGGATGGATGGATGGATGCACATGATGGATGGATGCACATGATGGACGGATGGATGGATGCACATGATGGATGGATTGATGGATGGATTGATTGATGGATAGATAGATAGATAGATGGATGCACATGATGGATGGATTAATGGATAGATAGATGGATGGATGGATGGATGGATGGATGGATGGATGGATGGATGGATGTACGCGATGGATGGATGGTCAACACAACCAGAAAGAGATACGTGCAGAGAGAAATATAAAGAAAAACAGTACACAGGAGGAATGACATAGAGAGCTGAACAGAGACAAATATAAAACGGACAAATAGAGCTTAATTGAAGGGTTCTGGAAGTAAAGATCCCATTGAAAATCTCAAGGTTATGGATGGTAAGTTTAGCAACAATGTCTTTACAATTCCAGAACTCTTAGCAGGTGTTTTGAGAGTGAATGTACTGTAGCTTTTACATTAGCATATACCATCAGTGCAATTTAAAGCAATGGTTCTTATCTGGTGGGTCGCAAACCAAAAATCTGTATTTTGTTTCAAATTAATTGACCACTTATTCAATATTTGGCCCAGTTTTTCAATCCACGTGTAAGATAAATCAGACTTTTGCTGTAGTTTCTGCATTTACAAACCAGTACATTTTCCTATTCAGACAATATTATTTTAATAATTTTGCATACCGTTTGACCTACGCAGGTAAATAAAAATGTTAAATATTTATATATATGCTGTGTTCATTTATTGGTACCAGTTAATGTGATTAATTGATAAAGTACTTACATTTTTTAACCTTTGTCTTTTTTCCTTACTATCAAATATTTTTTGTTATGATTATGTCTTGTTATGATTTATCTTGTTGGTTTGGTTCAAGACATAAAACTTATTGAAGAATATTCAGAAAAAATACTTCTGGAACCAAGGCCGCTTGTGGGCAGTCAATATTGAGCTCTATAGAGAGAGTGGAAGGACTGATAAAACAGACTCAAAGAAAAAATCAGAACAAGAAAAGCAAAGACTAACAAAGAAGACTGACAGAAAGAGTGAAAGAGGGAATAAAACAAAAGGGGAAATTAGGCACAGTCATCCATGCCAGCAATGATAAGAAGGGGTGGAGAGGTCGGTGGGCAGGCAGGTAAACACGCAGGCAGAGAGAGGACCGACCTCCTCTGGAAGATTCTGCCACAAACAGCATCGAGCGCAGAGCGCATCACGTTCCCCCACGCCACCGAAAGACCAGAGAGAAATCACACACACACACACACACCACCAGCTTGTGAGACAGCAGCACTACAGTAAATGCAGAGGGTATCATTTAGATAGCGTTTAAAAAAAGAAGAAAAATCAGAACAAAATGTGTTAATATATCAATGTTGTTAATGTTAACTAAAAACATTGTTTTTGTTAACTGAAAGCTGAAATAAAATAAATATTAGATAACCTTAAATGAAAACTAGTGATGTTGCTTTGGCAATTCACTGAAAGAAGTTTTGGTTGAAGTACTAAATTTACTAAAACAAATTAAAGCCTGTAGCAAAAAAAAAAAAAAAAAAGCTAATTAAAAAAATATTAATAAGTACTATAATAGTATATAAATAATACTAAAATAACTGATGGACAAAGGTGGTATTTTATATATTTGATTTGATATTTGATAAAAAAAAATCAATGTTTTGAAGCCACAGCAATGCATATTTTTGCATATATTAAATGTCCATTTTTTTAACATGCATATGGAAATTTCAATATTACATGAAATCATGCATGAAAATAGATGTTTATTAGATAAGTCCCTGTTTGACGGTTAGTTCCTGGCACGTATTCCCACTGAAAAGCTGAGAAGAGAAGGTGCGATTACCAATTCAAAGTGTTTCAAAGGTGAAAAAAAAATCAGTTTCTTCAAAATCTTATTATGGAGGATGCATATTGCACCAACTCTTTCTTGCTTAACGAAAGATGCGTCAAGACAAATTGTTCTCATACACGCATAAAAAAAAATAAAGTGCTCACTGGTGATAATTTTGTGCTACATTATTTCCAGGGTTCAAAATTTATTTCAACTTTTTTACATACATTTATAAATATAAACATTAGTTTAAATAGAAATATATATTTTTGTCTTCTCATCAACAGGATTATTTATTATTTAGAATATTTAAGAGACTATTTAGAATGTTTTATTTTTTGCATATTTGCAAAAGGTTCATGTGATAAGCCCGACTCTGAGGTGAAATAAGACTTGTGGTAAAAATGAGCAGTACGAAACAATTTTGCCTCTCATATTTCCATTTTTATCCGCTTAATTTGAGAAACATTTCACGTATGTTGACACATGGGTTGCGTTTACACTGGCACAAAAAATCGTCATTTTTTGACTCACATCTGACACAGATCGGAATTGTTGCACATGTGTAAACACAAAAATCCACGCAAGATCAGATTTTTTCGCATCCGATCTGAACTACTTCCAAATGTGGTTTTAAATCAGATACATATCCAATATCTGGAAATACGACCTGCATCTAAACACGTATATCCGATTCCCTTTTGAATTCCAAGCCAAACACAAGGCGAGGGTGACATGTTTGGCCACAACGATAACTTGTAAATGTTGTATTATGAAGCAGACGTGCCTGTATGTGCTTGCACTTAAACTCAGCTTTTTACCCTTTATAGTTAAGAGAATAGAAACTGGTTTTCAACCTCTGAACCATGGTTCTCTATTGAAAGCTACATTATATATTTTTCAGCAATGAGGTGAGAACTTCACTGTTTTGTACATAAACAAGCTTCACTAGACGCACGTTGGCTGTAATTCTCTCTCTAGTTAATTCATTGGAATTAATAAAAATAAAATAAAAACGTACCACGTTACTTTATTTCAGAATTCTGGGTCTAATGAGCCGTAGATAAAATAACAAACTAAAATTACAGTTATTTTCCGCTGCAAAAATCCATGACAGCTTTTAACTCATCCATGCTGGGAAATAATCATGGCTACCCGACGTGAATTGTGTAAATAATTTTAGTGCGGCCATTAAAAACCCGAGGATTAACCATGTCATGCATTCAAAAGCAGAACCATTTTTAGCGTGAATTATTTTTAGGACGCTAAAGATTTGACCTCTCGTTGGTTTCATACGGATTACATAAACGGAGAATATTTGTTTTTGGTATGAATTGCTTCATTTAAAAGTAGACACTTTAAGCTTTTCTAAAGACTCATGTCTGTGTGGCAAGTATTCGCTGAGTTTCGATTCATTTTTGTGAAGCGCTTCAGAAAGAAGTTGTTCACAGAGAGTGAGACGGCAGAAAGCGCACCCTGTATGTTTTCTCTATTTTACAAAAGTTTTGTCGTTATTGTGAGAGTACACAAATAAAAGTAGACCCTTTACATTTTCGAATGATGTATTACTCTACAAAAAAAAAAAAAAAAACGAGCACAAAAAAAAATACAGCAAAACACACCAAGTCACAACAGCTGTTTCCCTTAGTAAACGTTGATTGTGTCTGATTTTAATCTTGCATATCTCTGTTATTGTGAGTTGTATTATGTTGCAGTTCCTTATAAACAGGGGCGGAGTGGGACCAAAAAATCAACCGGGAAATTTTGTAGACAACCGGCCCTCGTCGCCGGCAGCGCCGGATTAAGAGTTCAGAGGCCTTGGGCACAATGTCTTGTAGGCCCCCTCTTAGGCAGGCCAAATGTATATTTTGTCCAAGGACATTTTAATATGGCATTTACAGTTTTAATGACTTAAAAGGAACTTTGTTGTACTATGCTGGATTAAAGTTCATAAATGGTTGTTCTTTCACATAGGATTTTGTAAAACTATGTTGGGTGGACCTCTGTACCTCGAGGGGGTTTCGGGGCATGCTCCCCCGCAAGAAAATTTTGTACATTTTAAGGTTAAATGCATCAATCTGGTGCTCTTTGAGAGATCAAAATTAAGAGCTTCAACCCATGAACTGCTCATTGAACAAAGAAAAAGCATTGATTTGTACCTGGACATTAAAGAGGGCTCAAACATCTTTTTAGTTATGAGAGTCTCAGTCTACATTACATTATCAATGGTGTTTTAGGATGCCAAACAATTATTATAATACTGTAATAATGATTTATATAATTATTCCTATGACGTAAAATCCATATAGCTAGGGATGGCCCGATACCGATACTGGCATCGGGGATCGGGCCGATACTGTCCTAATATACTCGTACTCATAAAAATTCGCCGATACCACGCACCGATACCACGTACATTTTGCAAAACGAAACTGGCCGCCGCGAGTGCTTTGTCGAGGTGAACTGAGGCATAGGAAAGTATAATGTCGGCGGTTTGGGCTCATTTCAAGATAAGGGATGATGACAACAGCAAGGCAGACTGTGAGTTATGTTCAGCTAAGGTGTCTAGAGGAGGGAAAGAAAGTACATCGTTTAACACCAGCAATCTAATTATTAATTAAACATCTGAAGACGCATCATAGATCTGATGGCCGAGCGCGCGCGCGGGCGGTAATGCACTCACTCTGTGTGTGCGGGTTACGGGAGAATAAAACGATTCGCGGGACTCCCGCAAACTAGAAATATCTATGAATAAAACATAAAAACTAAAAGATTTTTATTCATCTCTTGCAGAAAAGCAACAAGAACAACTACAACAAAATAGAAACGATTTACAGGACAGAGTTTCTATTCATAACATGGTTACAGCATTGAGCGATGTAGCCAATCACAGACATATGTGTTGATTTCTGGAACGCAATGGCCAATCAGAAGCATTTAAGATAGACTCCCCTCACCGCTCAAAACGGACTTTTTTGTTCAGTGCTGAATTCTGTATGCTGGCAAATCCTCTAATTATAACAAACAAAGTGTGGATATTATGAAAGATTGATTGTGCAGTCAGCTTCATTGATAATAACAGAGATGTGTGAGATCGCGATGAACTGTCAGCTTTTAGGATTTATTAAGGGAGCGCACTTTGCGCGCATTCAGTCATGCCAGACCATGCACGCAGTAGCCTGCTTGCTTTTATGTTAAATTAACAGTGGTTTGTGTGTTAATACATTTATTATTTTACTAATTTTTATTTATTTTTAGACTTGTTAAAACAAGCAGAGAAGAAAATAAAAACAGTCTTCTAACCTGTGTTCTAAAATAGTCGTCTTCTTTTCTGGGAGCCTATTAATTTTGCGGTAGAAATATCGGTATCGGTACTCGGTATCGGCAAGTACACAAATGTAAATACTCGTACTCGTATCGGTTTGAAAAAAAATGGTATCGGGCCATCCCTACATATAGCCTATAAATGTACTGTAAAAATGAAAATGAATATTTCCAAAGTATATTTTAGCCTACATTACACTATAGGCCTAGTAGCCTATAGCAAAATTAAAATACTTTTGTCCTAATTTCTTCACTGGCAAGAAATAAACCCTTGAGCTTTTATAGGAGAAAACACCAGATCACCATGCTGATCGCGTGAGCAAAGAGCGCACTTTTCTTTCAATCACGCAGCACAAACAGGATGCCTATATACTTAATTAAAGTCTTGTGCTGTTTTATAAAGGCACAAAGCCATATCATGGTTTCGATTTTAGTTCGTTGTCAAAATATAACGCTAGAGACCTTTATGGTATAGGCGGTACAGTTTACATCTCATATGTGTTGGGAAAAGGGAGAAGAGAGAGTTCGGCAAAAGGCGGATTCGAACTCGGGTCGAAACGCGTCAAAAGCTGCTATCAAGCACTTCACAACCTACGACCTACGCCACTGTAGCTACTTCGTGACGGGTGTCTTTTTGCAGAAAAGACAGGCACTTAGTGCAAATATACGCTCCGTTATCAAAAATGTAAAAAAAACGTTTGTTTTTTTTCCCCTCGCTTGGGCCTCAAGTGCGCATGGCTATAACACTTAACATGGTATAAATATTATCAGACCGGCCCTCGCGGGCCTCGAAACACTACCGGCCCACCGGGGAAACTCCCGACTCTCCCGATTGCCACTCCGCCCCTGCTTATAAAGTTACCATCCAACCGGCAGGCATTGCATTGACTTGCCAAAGGCAATTTTGGCACTTATCGAGGCCAGACTTTATATTAGGGCTGTTCTTAGACAAGTTGCATTATAGGGAAACAAAAAAGAAATGATCTCACATGAGCTAATCCACTCAGATTTTTGTAGGATTGTTCTGTGCATCAGTGTTAAATAACTAGGCTTGAGAATGTAGTTTAATAACAAAGAAATCCATGAAACACCCCAGCCAAATTCCTGCTGTTGTGTCATTCGTTGCTGCTGTTTTGTCAGACTTAATCCTATTTTTTGCTTTGCAGATTGAATTAGTTTCACGATTCTTGTGTGATATGGCTGTTGGTTTCATGATCGTGCATCGCCGTGTCACAAACAAGGACACATTTCAGGCGAGGCTGTTGAAAGAGCTCGGGATTGTGGGTAATACTGCTCAACGTCACTCCTTTTATACTCACAGGAAGTGGGCCGAGGTCACCAGGGTCTAAGGATGCTTTTGTCCTCATGTGAACGGGATACTTTAAGCGTGGATCTTCCTGAAAAGAGAGAAAGAGAAAAGAGAGAGAGGTTGACACATGCCCAGATTTTTCCCAGAAGTTTTTATCCTCATTTAGCCGTAAATTGCATTCACTGTCTGTTGCCAAAATGCAGTTCTTCAGACAATAAGTCATTTTGAAATGAGTGTGGGTTTTTTTTTCACGTCTCCATGGGGAGATTATGCAGTAATTACACATAGGCCTAGTGAAATTTAAGTCTTCTCGTGGATATTTTAAAACCACAAGCATAATTTAATAAAAACATACTTTGTAAATCACCATGTACTATTTTAAACAATCGTGAAAAAACAAACAAACAGACTTAATAATGCCTGGAGGAGAAAATCAATTTGTTTTCATTTTAAACCTTTCTAATTACAAAGAACCTCTATGGAGGATGCAATACATTCGACACAGACATGGACAAAGGCGAGTCTGTGCTGGGGGAAATTAGGGCGCTGGAGAAAAGCTGCAGTTCCTCTGCCAGTCACCAGGTGGCACAGTGATTCTGAGTGGATCATTCATGCATCACCCAGGGCCTCTCTCCAGATACTGTGTGGGGCACTGAAGTGTGCAATTGTGAGCAAGACTGTGTGTGTGCGTGCGTGCATCCGTGCGTGTGTGTGTGTGTGTGTGTGCGTGCGCGCAAGTCTGTTTCCCAAATACCTTTCATGCATCTTAACGCACAAAAAAACAGATCATATCTAAATTTTTAACATAGGATGAAACCGCAACCACTAAATATAATAATAATAACAAAATAATAATAATAACTTGGCTGTTTGTATTAAGGACTGATTATTGACATACTATTACAGTTTTAATATTTTGAATTATATTTTATTTAGTTTTTATTTCAATTTTATTTTTTTTAAAATGATCGTTTAGTTGTTTCTGTCATTTGTATTCGTTTAAAAAAAAAAATTCTATATGGTTATTATAATGTTTTAGTTTATTTAGTTTAAGTTTTACTGGTATTTTAACTTCAAATAGCTAAAACAAAATACGTTTTTATTTTATTTAGTTTCAGTCAACATTTCTCATTCAAAGTAATGAAAAGTTTTTTTTTTTAAATGGTTTTAGTTTACAAAAATAACCCTGATGAAAGACTAATGTTTTGCAAATTATACACATTAAGTAATAAAAGTATAATAATATGATATGCTGTATAATACGGAAGCCCTGAACCGCAACGTAAAAATCAAATCTAATCAAATCATATTATTATCATATTACGGAAGCCCTGAACCGCAACGGAAAAAAAAAAAATTCTAGCATTTCGAGAATAAAGTCGAAATATTTCGAGAATAAAGTCGAAATATTTCGAGAATAAAGTCGAAATATTTCGAGAATAAAGTCGAAATATTTCGAGAATAAAGTCGAAATATTTCGAGAATAAAGTCGAAATATTTCGAGAATAAAGTCGAAATATTTCGAGAATAAAGTCGAAATATTTTGAGAATCTCGAAATGCTAGAATATTTATTTTTTTCGTTGCGGTTCAGGGCTATGATGATAATATGATTCATTATGCATGCATAATAACATCAACAATAATATAATTAATATAATAAAATATAACATAATATAATTATTATTAAATTATATACATTAAGTAATAAAGCTATAGTAATTATATGTGATAAGAATAATGAATAAAATAATATTCATTATTCATGTATAACAGCAATAATAATATAATAATAATAATAATAATTCATATTATTATTATTACTTTTAAGCTCAAAACAGTGCAGCTGCAAGCAGACAATGCAGGTGGATTATGTCATGAGAAGAATCAACCAGTCAAGCTACAGGTCAAACTGCTGATGGTATTTGTATCGTAGTAAACAAATGCTTAGTGATGATTTATAAATAGTATTTGTATCGTATTAAACAAATGCTTAGTGATGATTTATAAATAGATGATCACATCTGTGCATAAAGCATAGCTACGTCAGCAAATAAAACTAGCAGCAAACGTGTAAAATATAGGGCACTTATGACTACAACAGAGTTTGCAATTACTGTGCTACTAAAATAACAGCGTGATACTAGGAATTAAAATAAATAGCACACAAATATTGTGTAGAACAGAACATTTTCATTTGCTGTTTTTTTTGGAAATATTTATAGCCAACATTTAATCTCTCTTCACTCATGGCCAGCTTGCATTTGTTTCTTCAGAGCTCATCACAATGCATTCTGGGATTGCCCTTACCGTGAAGAAAACAGTGGATGCGTCCAAAAGTATGTGACAAAAGAATTAGGTCCATATTCACAGTATTCATAAAAGAGTAGGTAAAAAGCACCCGAATGACTTGCTACTTCTGGTGAGATTCTGAAGTGTGCATACGATGGACACTTTACTATCCCATGAGGCCACAAGAGAGGATTTGTGAATGGCCGTGAAGCGAAAACTGACGCTGGGAGGTTATATGACAGTGACAACATGATGAATGAGGATTACATTAATACTACATACACTCATACTATATAGAACGTACTTTTTTAGCGCTCGCCAAATAAGTACTTATTCAAAATAAGTACACACTCAAGAGAGAATGCGATTTTGGACGCAGCCACTAACTTGCAACAGATTTTGTGAGTGTTTGTCTTACCCATGTAGTGTGTCTGCTGTTGTGGTCAATGAAGAAGGGCCGTCCGTTGGGCGCTATTCTCATTTCCCATCCAGGGGGCAGGAAGCTCTGGTTTGCTTTATGCTGGGATTTAGGTGAGCTGTAGGGAGAAGGCTGGGGGGACTGTGGGTTGGAAAACGTGTCCTTTACGGCTCGCCGTATTTGGGCATTATTGGCTCCCTGCAACAGGAAACAAGAGTCAGCGGTTATCAGACTCCGTTATTTAGGCTTTACAGCTTTTTTGTGTAACTAATTAGAATTTTTTTTGTGCAAGAAAGACTTATACGAATGGGAAATGTCATAAAATGTGAAAGACTTGGAAAATGCAGAACGTGTTAATGAGACGGCACGCTGTTTAATCCTGCTAAAATTTTAATTAGCGCACAACTCAGAGGATTTCACCTCCATTTCACCTCTTCTTTTCTCTTCCTCTCGCTTTTTTCTCCCCCAAAACAAATGTTTCCTTTTCAACTGTTTAATTAAAATTCACATGGCCCTTTGTGACTGATCATTTAAACACAAAACCATATTTCTTTCTGTAAACTTTCAAAACCTTTGTGAAATGTTTACCCAATATTCCACAGATCATCTGACTTCAGATGTGGAAAATTGACCACCTGTCATGTGATTAGTCCTAATTGCTTATCTGACGAATGAATTCTGGGTATTCTCTCCTTCTAAAAGCTAAACTAGCAAAGCAAACAAGAAGAGAACAAGCGATATAACTGTTCCATACGTGTTAATAACTCTAGAACATGAACTAAAATGAATCAGCTCTGAGTTCAGTCTATCAAAGTTTAAAGAAATGTAAATTAAAATGGGATATTTTCTTTTTCAAAAGCTTATCGCTTTACTGAAACTTTTATATTCTTCTTCACAGACATCTAGTAAAAGAAAAATAGAAACAGCATTTCCACAAGTCTACAGCATATATTTATTATATAATATATACATTTCATATAACATATATATATATATATATATATATATTATATAACAGCTAAAGTCATAAAACAAGCTGTCAGAGAGAAGCACAGGGATTTTAATCAATTCCACACCAGGCAGCCCCATGCCTTTTTTGTTAGCTACCATGTTTTTTGCACGGAAGTGTGTGGCTGCAATTAGCAATAATTGCTATGAGAGCAAACATAAGACACTTATTCCCCCCATCCCCAACATCTGCAGATTAGCTACAAGAGCTATTGTTCATTCCATTAGCAAAGTCATTCTTCACAGCGGAGACCATTAGCTCAGGCTGAGGCCCATCTTGACGGATACAATTGTTTGCAATTTTCAAGGAAAATTCTGGATTAAATTACAATTTGGGCTTTATCTCCAGTATAAGAGGTCTGTTGCCGTGGATTCATATTTTTGGATTCAGTTTGTAAGAAACATCACAAAGAATTCATTTTATAATATATAAAAAGATAATATATTTGTATTATTTTCTATATTATATTAGAATTATAGCATTATAACATATAATATATTTTATAAAATACACTGAACAAAATTTTAAACGCAACACTTGTTTTTCCCCCATTTTTCATGAGCTGAACTCAAAGATCTAAGACTTTTTCTATGTACACAAAAGGGCTATTTCTCTCAAATATTGTTCACAAATCTGTCTAAATCTGTGTTAGTGAGCACTTCTCCTTTGCCGAGATAATCCATCCACCTCACAGGTGTGGCATATCAAGATGCTGATTAGACAGCATGATTATTGCACAGGTGTGCCTTAGGCTGCCCACAATAAAAGGCTACTCTAAAATGTGCAGTTTTACAGTACTGGGGGCAAAAAAATTGTGTGGCATTTATAATTTTGTTCAGTGTATAATACTATATAATATAACATATTATAATATAATATAATATTTAAAAAAAGATATTATAATATATTTTTATTTGTAATAATATTATTTATTTTTTATGCTTTTTAAAACATTAGTGATCAAAATTATTTTCAGTGGTAATCGGCAACGGGCCACATATACTGTTAATAGAGATATTTAATATAATTTCATATTTTTTATCATAATTTTTCCATAATATGTAAAAAATATATTACATTAAAAGTATGGCCTAGTATAGCACAAGACTTTTTCAGGATCACTAAAATTACTTGTTTAAAGCTCTTCCCACTAACATGAATAATGTTTTATGGCTATACTTGCTAATATAACAAAAAATATTGCCATGACATTATATATATATATATATATATATATATATATATATATCAGAACAATGGACTATAAAAACAAAAAAAGAAGCAGGTTTAAGGTCAGACATGGATTTAGAGCTATAGAACAGAAGGAAACTATGAAGTCATGGCTGTTTGAGAGATTAAACTTCTTTTTGGCAATGGTGACACTTTGGCGAGTTTCACGATAAGCAAACGGACAGCTGCCCCTACCCCTAGTTTCAGGTAGCGTCAACTGATACGAATTCACAAAGCGGGGGTAGAAAACAGCCCTGTTCCCTCCACGCACATGTAAATCGTGATGAGTATATTAAAACTTGATACAAACAACAGCTGCTCAATTCAACTTTGTGATTAATCACAAATAAGGAAAATCCTGAAAGCCTGTGGCAAGATTAAAAATACATCCCAAGATGTTTTACTCTTTATTGAAAGTCTTCAAAGAATTTTTGCAGTTTCTGGGGAACATTAATAAAAAATGCTATTCCTACTGTGTCTGATTGTAAATACTACAATAAATCCTCTCATCATGTGTTAATAGACAGTATGTGTGTGTGTGAGAATCGCATGTGTCCCTATTTGAAGGAAAACAAGTGCATAGTAGTCATTATGCAATGTACATCAGAATTCAGCAACTGACCAATCAGAAACAAGTATTCTAGCGAGATTTCATACTGTGCAAAAATTAGGGATGCACCAAAATTTCGGCTACCAAAAATATTTTCGGTTTCAGGTCAAAATGGTTTTGGAGGGCTAAAATCATTGACCGAAACATGAACACAATGGCCAATCAGAGAAAGTGTTACAATGTTACAGTTTATTGTCGTTTAAATATATTTTTATATTATATTTTACCAACAAACTGGAGTAGAAACAAATCTATTATTAAAAAGTTAATATAAAAACTGCCTTATGCCAACAACTCAGTTTGAGCTATTTGAGTATCGATTATTTAAATAAGTTTGATATAATAATAAATTACATTTAAAATATATTAAGTGATAATTCATTTTTTTTCCGTTTTTCGGCCAAGTGCATCCTGAATTTTCGTTTTCAGTCCAGATTTTTCATTTCGGCGCATCCCTAAGAAAAATATAACTGAATATTTATATCTGGGTGGTAGATGACATTAACTTAACCTAAGGTACCCAACTACCCTTTTATCTGCATCAACATTTTCAAGAAAGTGTGGCTGTTTGGACTTAGCATTAAGGTTACCTTAGCATTTAGTGTCAGAAACATTTAATAAAACAAACAAATAACAAAAAAGGGTTTGCTGGCAGCTATAAGAGAACAAGATGACGACTGATAAAGGCACTAAGCTAAATAACGTTTTTTTTTGTTTTTGTTTTCTTTACTGTAAATCGAAGTGAATTAAATTACCCTGAATTGAAAGGTCTGGAGCAGATGGGTCAGGAAATTGTATCTCGAGTGAAATTTGGGGACATCAGACTTTCATATTAAAACTTATCCACACATAATACAAGGGCTACGACTAATCATTTGCTTCAGCTGTTCATACCTAATAGAAGCCAGTGGCAGTGTGCAAAGAACATAATTCTGATTTCCTATCTCGACCAACTGTGTGTGGACATTGTGATTATATTAAAATCATGGCAATATATATATATATATATATATATATATATATATATATATACACTCACCGGCCACTTTATTAGGTACACCTGTCCAACTGCTCGTTAACACTTAATTTCTAAGCAGCCAATCACATGGCGGCAACTCAGTGCATTTAGGCATGTAGACATGGTCAAGACAATCTCCTGCAGTTCAAACCGAGCATCAGTATGGGGAAGAAAGTTGATTTGAGTGACTTTGAACGTGGCATGATTGTTGGTGCCAGAAGGGCTGGTCTGAGTATTTCAGAAACTGCTAATCTACTGGGATTTTCACGCACAACCATCTCTAGGGTTTACAGAGAATGGTCCGAAAAAGAAAAAACATCCAGTGAGCGGCAGTTCTGTGGGCGGAAATGCCTTGTTGATGCCAGAGGTCAGAGGAGAATGGCCAGACTGGTTCGAGCTGATAGAAGGGCAACTTTGACTAAAATAACCACTCGTTACAACCGAGGTATGCAGCAAAGCATTTGTGAAGCCACAACACGCACAACCTTGAGGCGGATGGGCTACAACAGCAGAAGACTCCACCGGGTACCACTCATCTCCACTACAAATAGGAAAAAGAGGCTACAATTTGCAAGAGCTCACCAAAATTGAACAGTTGAAGACTGGAAAAATGTTGCCTGGTCTGATGAGTCTCGATTTCTGTTGAGACATTCAGATGTTAGAGTCAGAATTTGGCGTAAACAGAATGAGAACATGGAACCATCATGCCTTGTTACCACTGTGCAGGCTGGTGGTGGTGGTGTAATGGTGTGGGGGATGTTTTCCTGGCACACTTTAGGCCCCTTAGTGCCAATTGGGCATCGTTTAAATGCCACGGCCTACCTGAGCATTGTTTCTGACCATGTCCATCCCTTTATGGCCACCATGTACCCATCCTCTGATGGCTACTTCCACCATGTCACAAAGCTCTAATCATTTCAAATTGGTTTCTTGAACATGACAATGAGTTCACTGTACTAAAATGGCCTCCACAGTCACCAGATCTCAACCCAATAGAGCATCTTTGGGATGTGGTGGAACGGGAGATTCGCATCATGGATGTGCAGCCGACAAATCTGCGGCAACTGTGTGATGCCATCATGTCAATATGGACCAAACTCCCTGAGGAATGCTTCCAGCACCTTGTTGAATCTATGCCACGAAGAATTGAGGCAGTTCTGAAGGCAAAAGGGGGTCCAACCCGTTACTAGCATGGGGTACCTAATAAAGTGGCCGGTGAGTGTATATATATATAAAAATATTGGCAATCAACTGCACAAAATTATAATCTGAATCTCAATTGTGCCAGTGACATGATTCAAATCAAAGATGCTCAAACACAAGAAAACATCTGTCGAGACTCGAGCTTTGAGCAAACAACGTGGTAACGCTTCCTTTTACAGTACAGTACTTACGTGTACTTACAGTGTACTTACCTAGAAAGTACTGGCTAATATAAGGTAAGTACATGGGTTAGGGGTAGGTTCAGGCCAGGGTTAGTAGCTAGTTATTACCCAGTAATTATAGTTACTACTATAATAAGTACTGTACATAGTAAGTACATGGGTAACAGGACTGTAAAAGGAAGCGTTACCAACAACTTTTACCTCAGAAGTTTATCTAGAAGGAATCTTTTTTTTTTTCTTCAGAACTCCATGTCAACACGTATAATAAACATTCCTCACATTAAGCCACCAAAGTGAAAAAATGAGGGGCAAAATTACAATGTGCATGAAACAAAAGACACAATGACCTGCACTGTTTGTCGCTAATTTGCAAGTAAAAGCAAAGCAAAATATGGCAAGCACAAATGTCAAAAAATAAAATGAGAAATATTTCAGGCGAGACACTACATGTGAATAGGGTAATTTTTTAACTAGCAGATATCACCATGTAAGTTTTCCAGTTGATTACCTATATTAAGATGAGAAAAAAAATGTATTACAGGTTTTCTGTAATTTAATGTTTAAATATGCACTAACCTGCATATATTTTAAAAAACGAAGTATTGAGTATTGGATGAGTATTGGATGAAGCCAGGTTCAAAATAATTTTTTCATTGTGTTCACATATTAGATGGGAAAAAAAAATCCAGAGGGATTTATGGATATCTATCCTGTAAATCAGAATATACTGCCAATAGCCTTAAAAAAAAGATTTGCGCCATGTTTTTTGGAATAAAATGTTATATAAATCAGGCTAGGAATAATTTATTTACAAATCCCTCTGTAAACGTCTTCATAATATACCTAGGTACAATACTGGAAAGTTTGGTCTATATAGGTGCTATTGAATTTGGAGATTTCAGACTTGAAATATGAGAGAAAAGTCATTTTGAGAAAACGGGCTTTAAAGATTTAGCATCAGCCAATGAGATTGCGCATTTAGAGTTAAATCCCCCCTTTTACTTTCACGATTGGTTGCTGATTAAAAGGAAATGACCATATTTGGATCCGACAGCGTTGTACAGGAGAGAGAGCTTTCTAACGGTGTGTGTGATGACAGGGTGCAGATCGCGGAGCAGCGGGAGGATTTATAACGCCAACTTTTGATGAATTTATGAGAAATCTACAGACGCAAACAGACAAAGCGTAGTAAAATAAAGACCTAAATGTGTAATTCAGACTTTTTTTCAACACAAGTCTGAAAGAAGACATGTTATTGAAGACAAATATCCCAAAATCTCAAAATTGACCAGTGAAAAAACCCAGATGTTTTTGCCTGCCGTGTCTCGCCTTAAATGAGAAATTAGTGTTTGTGAAAGAAATTAATATTTTGTATTCAGCAAGGATGCATAAAATTAATCAAAAGGGACAGTAGCAACATGTAATATTTAAAAAATATTTTGTTTTTATTTAAATTACTATACTTTTGAACTTTCTATTCAAAGAATCCTGAAAAAAAGTATTATGTTTTCCACAAAAATATTTCCACAAAAATATTAGAAATCACAGCTGTTTTCAACTATGATAATAATAAATGTTTCTTAAGCACCAAATAAGAATATCAGAATGATTTCTGAAGGATCATGTGACACTGAAGACTGATATAGTAATGATGCTGAAAATTCAACTTTGCCAAAACGGGATTAAATTACCTTTAAAATATATTAAAATAGAAAACAGCCATTTTAAATTGTAATAATATTTCACAATATTACTGTTTTACTGTATGTTTGATCAAACAAATCAAGCCTTGGTGAGCATAAGAGACTTCTTTCAAAAACATTTAAAAATCTTACCGACGTTTGTGTAACACTTGACAGAAACTTTGTCTAAAAACATTGGTTAAGAACAGCCGAGACTGTTTGAGAAGATGGATTAAACATATACTAAATAGACTGGAGCTTGGAGGAGGGGAAAGTGAGAAGGAAGTGAGGGGTGGAACAGAGGGACTGACGGATGTTCTCACCTCTATTGGGGAAGAGAGAGTGACGGTGGGGGAACTGAGGCTACGGGGTCTGCGCACTTGTGGTTCGATTAGATGGTTGCTGGAGGAGGAAGGGGTGGAAGCGGGGGGTGTGGCTGCTGTAGCGCCCCCTGCTGCCGCAGCTGAGGTACTGGCTCCATCTTCAGTGTGCTGTTGGGCAAAGAGAAGGGTTAGCTAGCTAGCCACCACAAGGTCTGGTATATGGGTGAACGAGCCTAACTAGAGTGCATTCAAGGTTTACAAACGTCCAGAATGGAGAGCAAGGTCTAAAATAATATAATAGGAAACTAAGGCTAATTAAGCTGATTAAAATGATCAATAACCATAAGGTTTCATTTGATTACGGGGACAAACATGGTCTGTCAGGCTTATAAATGACTACAATCTTTTAACTTCCTTAAAATATTCCAGAGCAGTTAAAGAGGACGTAATATGCTTTCTTTACATTTAAAACTTTCTATAGTGTGTAATGTTGCTGTTTGAGCATGAAAAACGTCTGCAAAGATCCAAAGCCCGTTCCAAAGGGAGTTGTTGTCTATATCAGCAAGTACTTTCAGATCTCCCTGTAACGTCTCGACTGTAGTCTTGAGTTTTCTTCCAGAAATGCACACTTCACAATATTCCTCATTTAAATAATTCCTGCCTAAGACATATGCAAAATTAAAGGGATTAGGCCTGGTTGAGCTCCGTTAGTAGTGTGTTGAAACTTGTGGTTATGGTCATTTCCGAAACACGCTCGAAGCGGTAGACCGTCCAGCCGACCAATCAGAGCACACTGCTCTTTTTGGAAGTAGGGGGTCCATAGAGACAGGAACTAAACAGAGTGTTACTGACAGACTGTGAAGAGAGGTGCTGCATCTATGTAAAACATGTGGAAAATAATGTGCATGAAACATTCAAGCATGAAATTCTATTCTAGTAGACCCCAAAAATCAAGACATGGGCATAATAGGTCCTCTTTAAATAAACCATTTTACCTGTTCTGTTTTAAAAAGAAAAAGAAATGGAGAGCATCCTACAAAGGATGAAGAATTAGTTTACTAGGACAAGAAAGAGGACTATAAGATATAGATCAAGAGGGACCAGAGCAGCAATAAATAGATCAAGGGAACACACAAGTCTTGCCAGAACAAACAACATCCAGACATTGTGAAGGGATGGGTACACACTAACATGGATGCAAACAGATAAAGGCAGAACAATAAAAAATGAGATTGATGCAGTAAAACAAAGATGGGTCATAAAGAAGGACCGTATAAAAGTCACTCAGATTTGACCGTGGATGATGCTGGAAAACACCTGATGAAGAATAGACCTCTGCTAGCTTTAGCTAGGCTACGCTAGATTACGTACCTGCAGAATGGGCCGTGTCCACGTGGTGCTACGGTTGTTATGGTTGACGTAGTACATTCGTCCCTTGGGGTCCTTGCGTTCCTCCCAGCCTGGCGGAAGACCTGGTGTGGTCAGGGCATAGGAGGCCGATGGAGACTGAACAAAGTGAAAAGAACAAATGAGTTTGTATATTCAGAAGCCAAGAGAATCAGAAAAAAAAAAATGGCAGAGATTGAAATTATTTAGATTCATTCATTGTAACAGGACTGACAGTGATATCAGGGTCATATTTGTATGAGAAGCCTTGTGAACTGATATGACATTTAATATGATGAGTGTGGGAATATTGCCAGAATACTAACACATTTTCACAGACACAAATGTAGATATACGTAAACACACTCACAAGAACACCTAAGCAACACAACATACAAAACACACTCCGCTCTAGGTGACATGACTTTTACGAACACATTTGAAATGTATCCGATAAATGTGTCTGGGTGACTTTACATTTAGGGTGAAGATGGACAAGTCGAGGTTTAAAGCAAACCCTTGCAATCTCTAATTTTATGGTCATACACATGCCAAAAAAAAACTGGTATGAAACAAAAAAAGAAAAAATATTTGTGAAATGAGATGTGCCACCTTTAAAATAGAGAACCTATAATAAAATAAAAACAATTGTTTAAATTAAATTAAAACAAATTATTTATTTATAAATATAAATTAAATTAATATATGTAATAATAAATGTAACCACCTTATTATAAATTAAATATAAAAATATATAAAATATGTTAATATGATAAAATATGTTTAAAAAAAGAAGAAGGGGAAGAACCAAGAAGACAGGAGAACACAAATGTACAACATGTGGACATTACCATGGTGTCCTCAACGCCTGTGACCGTTTGTGCTCTTGTTCGTCGGGTCTGGGAGCTCTGCTGGACAATAACAGCTGCTTTTAGATGGGGCGGGCAACTGCCCAGTTTTGGGCCAGTGGGAGAGGGGAAATGAGGGCAAATGGAAGGACAGGGTCAGCCAGAAAGTGTAACGGTGAGAAGGGGAGGGGGGTGATTTCAGGGTGGTTTTGGTTATTTTAGGTAATCATTTTTGACAGCTGAAGGGAGTGATTTTGTGAGAGGTGCCCTGCAGTGTGACGTAAAGATACAGCAACCCCCCAAAAAGTGGAATAACAAACGGGATGTGATTTTAAGGGAGTGGATTTAATATGAAATCACGGTTGAATGATTAGATTTGAGAAAACATTGAGATTTGATTTGATTCATTTAAAGAATGATAAGAGAGTGCATGAAATACCCAGGTGCTTATTTGTGGAGAGAAAAAAAAAAGCATAATTTGCAATTGAGAGATGACTACAGTTTCAACATTTTGTTTTTGTCTTAAAATGACAGTAAATCATGACAGCATTTTTATTTTGCATGAACCATTCCTTTAATTAATTCATATAATTGTAAGGGAACTCCACACATTAACAGTGAAACTTAAATAAATGATAATAATAAGCATTTCAAACTGACTCACACTTACCTACAGACTCACCAACTCTAAAAATACTGAGGAAACACCACCTGGACTAACATCCGACTGGCACACAGAGTTTACATTTCAAATGCTGAAAGATTCAACTCTGACAGAAAATGAAATGCTCTCCAACTGCTTTTATATGGATGTAATAAAAGACACTTGTCTCAAACAAGGCAATCCTATTAGCCATCCTTTCAAGTAATGATTGAACATTTGCACTGGTGTGAAATGTCAGCCTCCTTGCACACAGGGACGGGAAGTGTGGGGGAAATGCCAGCTCTCACCCACGCTGATTTCATACAGATTTGCTGTGACTATAGCGAAATCCCTCATCTGCAGCTCTGAGAAGCACTTCACAGTCAGAGACAACCGGGCCACCAACCAACCGGCCTCTTGTCAGAACAAAGTGGATGCGACGCAGAGAGAACACGGAAAAGGCATCTATTTGAAAGCGGATTCAGGCGGATGATGAAAAGCGTTTTTTTTCTCCAGTGTAAAGGATATGTTACTTCAAAGCTCAAAGTTCAAGAATGTTGTTGAAGTGTGGAGGTAAAAGATTAATGTGACTACTTTATATTCAAACTATTCAGGACAACTTTGTACTTTTAAGACTGCTCTTTAGAATAATCCCAGGCACTAGGAGATGCCTTGCAAAAACTTGGACCAGACGAGTAAGAGTAATTCACAAGCAAATCAGGGTATCAGATATAACACTTCAAGGAACGGTTGACCCAAAAATTTTAATCATGTCATCATTTACTCATCCTCATGTCATTTTAAACCCGTATGACTTTCTTTCTTCGGAGAAACAAAAGATATTGTGAAGGGCAAAAGGGGCATCATAAAAGCAGTACACACTAACTATATTACAAATCTAAAAACAATACAATATATGACAGTAACAGATTTACACTACTGTTCAAAAGTTTGGGGTCAGGAAGTAAAAAAAAAATGAAATTAATACTTTTTATTCAGCAAGAATGCTTTAAATTGATCAAAAGCAACAGCAAAAACATGTATTATGTAACAGAATGTTTCTATTTAAAACAAATGCTTTTCTTTTGACTTAATCATCGAAAAATCATGAAAACAAAAACTTATTACAGTAGCACAACTGTTTTCAGCATTGATAATAATAAGAAATGTTTCTTGAGCACCAAAATCAGCATATTAGAATGATTTCTGAAGGATCATGTGACACTGAAGACTGGAGTAATGATGCTGAAAATTCAGCCTTGCATTTACATTTTAAAATATATTAAAATAGAAAGCCGTTATTTTAAATTGTAATAATATTTCACATTATTACTGTTTTTTATAGTATTTTTTACTAAATAAATGCAGCCTTGCTGAGCATAAGAGGTATTTAGAGACAAAAGACAAAAACATTAAACAATCTTACCGACCCCAAATGTTTGAAAGGTTTGTAAAATCTGCCTTATATTCTGGCTTTTCCTAAAATATGGCTTTAGACAACATGGAATACAGAGCATGAGTTGTATGGGCTACTTTTATGGTACATAACTTTTATGGGGTTTTTTTTTAAGAGGTTACGATATTTTGTTGTATGAAAAAGACCAGAACAAACAGTCATTAAACCATCTCCTTTTGTGCTCCATGTAACACAGAAACTCCAGCAGGTTTGGAACGACATGAGGCTGAGTAAATAATGACAATTGTCATTTATGGGTGAACAACTCCAGAGTCGAGTGTTGATATGGTTCTGAACACCTTGTCAGTACATCTAGTATTCATATAAATACAGCTCTACAAACAACAACTTAGAAGTAAATCCAAAGTGAGTGTGCATCGCATTTGCTTTATGCCTTTATAAGGTTCAATAACTGATCTTAATCCGTAGCACAAGGTTACTGCACGAGCTGCCAGATCTTATATTGGAAATTCCCAGCATGCACTGGTCTAAATGCCACGATACAATAATGAAATAGACACCAAAACACTTAAGAGAGGCTAACCCAACTTCTTAACCGATGGGGCCATCAGACTGTGTCACGTGAAACCAGCCGGCAGGAAATTTTCTGAAAATAAATACACGGGTCTCAAGGCTGGGAATCATGCCTTTTAAATGAAGCAAAAGTGCTTCAAAGATGTGGTGGACTTCCAGTGAAACATCCAGCGTCTGTGTCTGTTTCCTGTCTCATGTAAACGGGAGCAGTTCACACGGTGACCTCATCCACATGGGTAATTTAATTGTACCATATGTGGCTTATCTGCTGTAAAACAGCATTTGGCGGATCATTTAAAAAGACAGCACGCTGTTTTTCTTGTGCATCCATGCATCTTACAGCATTCAAAACCAAGTTAAAGTATGAAAATACAATAGGTTTACATATATCCAAGGTCACAAAATCCTTTCATTTTCTCATAATATACATTTCACATCACCACATTTCTCAAAGAGTCTGAAACGGTTCGTTCGAAGATTCGGTCTCTCTAAACCCCTCCTTTCCAAGAGCCTACTCTGCTCTGATTGGTCAGACGGCCCAGTCTGTTGTGATTGGTCGGAAACTAAACGGCCATCTGAATTTCAGCTCCAGAGGCTTCCTAAATTCTCAATGACTGTACACACTGTAAGGACAGTTATATTTTACCATATCAATTCGAGCCCGGGAACAATGATGAAACATTGGAAGAACTAGTCAAATCAACCCTAACCTCAATCGCAAGGACTTGAGCAGGACTTTTCTCAGTGGCAAGATTTTACTTAGTTTGTGGAACATTATGAGATGTTATAGCTGTGTAATTCCTCTACATCAGCATTAACAAGTGTATGTCCATCAATAAACCGATGTGTAAATGGAAATGCCCCTGTGCGATGACAATTGATTACAACTCTTTTATAGAACGTTGCACTTTTTTCCCCCAAAAATTACTGAGAAAGCTGCACTGTCAAATGTTCCATTAAAATAACTCCCACAGTCACATTATCACCATGGAAACACGTTAACTCATCCGATGACATCATAATCAGCACTATAGCTTCAATAAATCAAAACTAGGAGCTTAATAATACCCTATAAGTCACTCTGAATTATCCTTTGACATACGCAGATTACGCACACAAAAACACAAAGACAGGTGATACATTTCTGAGTGAACATCAGGAGACATTTTATATAACGTTGACTATTTTGTCACTTACATTATATAATGCTTAACATCAGTGAAATATGAATATATATTTATTTTCAAAAAATAATATATTTCATATATTAATCAAAGTTTCTAACTACCGGTATCTGCGCGTGTGCATTAAACGATCTGTCAAGCATTATGTAACGTGAAAATGTGTGATATTTATTTTATTAAACAGATATAGTACAAAGTGGGAAGACAATATTAGTAAGAGATGGAAAACATTGTCAGGATATCCTCCATGTCGGACCTGAATCTTACGAGCACCGAGGCTCAATGTGTCAGGAATGTCATGGCTCCAAAGTTTATTAAAGTCAATAGTATTATTCAACTCATTCTAACAACTGTAGGTTGGGAAATGATTCGTTTCCATGTGGGATTGACTAGATCATGAACAGTGATGATGTCATCTTTAAAAAGTAGAGTTGTTTGAGAGCCTATTTTATCATTTTGATGAAAAATTACAAAGACAAAAAAAATTTTCCTCTTTGAAATGATCAAATTTAAGACAGGAATGTGTATTAATGAAGTAAATAGGGCTGATTTTAATTTTAACTTCATGTTTACTTCAAAGCATTTTAAAGTGTTATTAAATATTCCTACTGTCACATTATTGTCATTCCCAAAGGTAGCCAAGATGTTCATTAGAGACAACAGGATTTGAAGCCAAAAGAGTAAAAGATGGTACGGTAATGTGAGTAAAAAAGAAAAAAAAACACCACATGAAGTGAGACAGAGGTGAGGAGGAGAAAAGTAGGTGTACCGTTGGTGTGGGAGGTTGAGTTTGATCACTGACTCCATCAGTCATACTAGAGGAGCGTAGCCGAGAGGAAAGATGACTCTGCTGGTGTGAGAGAAAGAGATAAAAAGGCATTAAGACACGGTTATAAATAAATAAAGACATAAATATCTAATATCTATCTGAGTGGCCATTTTCTAAGTGGTACAGGCCCTAAATTGAAACATCGAATATTTTGGCATATCTCACTCAAATTTGAACAGAAAAAAAATACAATATTAAAATATTTCATTTAAATAATTTCATATTTACCGTACAAACATATACATTTCTTTTTTATATATAAACTGATTTCAAGTAGTTTTTTGCCATTTGGGATGTGACTAAATTCATACAAAAAGTTATATAGTGTCCAAAGCTAAAGCTAAATTATAAATCTACAATTTATTTTCAAAAACTGCTTTCAGGTACTTTTTTTTTTTCATTTCACATGTGACCTGACCAAAATCCTACACAGAGTTAAGTAGTGTCACTCACAAGCGCCATTCGATATGTATTTAAATGGTAGATGAGTGAGCGATTTTAGACACATCATATGCATGACTGTATAAATACAGTAATGCCTCTGGGCTGGCACTTATGTATATGATATGCTTGATGAATTCAGCACTACGGCAGATGTCATGATAGGCATCAGCAGAGGAAAAATGTTCAGTTTCAACTTCCCTTGACCCCTTGCATGTTCGTTTATTAAATATTTAGTCTAACTTTCAGTTACAAATAACTGTCTGTAGCACCTTCAGCTCTGTGTAACAATTAATTATGCACAAATCAGTCTGGACATGTAGACTACATTGTCTTAACAAATGGACAATATATTATGCAATTTTATTGTGAAAAGTCCAAAAGAGAACCAAAAAGAGACAAACCAGTGCAAAGAATTTAACAAAGCCATAGTAAGAGAGATTTTTCCAAACTGAGTGGCTCCTGTTCACAGAAGACCCCTGCGCTGCCTCCACAATGATTCACCGAGTGATTCAGCATGAGTGTACAGAGTTACACATGTGTGGATGTGCTTCAGAGTCAGCTATTAGTTCTGACATCATCATTAATAACAACATTTCAAGAATTTCAAATGCAATATCCTGAAGTAGACTAAAAAACATGCCAGTTGTGCTTGGAGTCAATTGTTTTGTTTATGATAATGTTATGAAAAATGCAAAATTATGTGACCATCATATTTTGGCCAGGCTGTCATACAAATAAATAGTGCAAAAACAAGAGAGTGACAACAAAATATGTTATAGTCAATGTAGGCTTTTTTCTGTAAGCATTTTGTTTTTCTAAGCATTTTTTTGTTTTGTTCTTCCCTCATTTATGAAATATTTTCCTCATATTTTGATGGTTTAATCAAACTTGTAGGGTCATTAAAACAAACATCCCCTACGGACATCACTAGGCCACTAACTGTATATAAAGATGTATTTAATTGACCACATTCTCTTTCGGGCCCTTAAAACAAAGATAACAGCAGATATGTTTTTGGGATTTTTTTTTTTTCTTTCTTACCACAGCAGAGCTGGGTCCTGGGATTTCTCCGTTTGTGTCTGGAGCGAGAGACAATCTAAGGCTGATCTCATCTGAGATTTCTGGAGTGCTGGAGAGGGGCATCGCCAGAGAGGAGGGTCCGGACAGAGAATGGTTCAAACCGTCATTCAATAAAGTTGGGTCTTCCTCAGATATGGGTTCCCATGACTGGAAAAGGAGGGATATGCATGAGAACCTAACAGAATATTGTTTTTATTAAGAATATTACACTAAATATATAAAAACTCTGATAATCTTATGATTCTTAACCACAATGAGGGAAAGAAAAGCAAAAGCTTTACGCAGAAATGATGATGCTATCTAGCTCAACTCATAGCCTCAGAGGTCAGGGGTTAAATACTAACGTCGTCTATGTCCCTGATGTCCAGCTGCTCATTTTCCAGGTCTTCGCTAATGTGCCGTCGAGAGCGGAAAACTCTGTGGGCTTCCTGGTTAATCTGCCGCAATTGATTATCATTTTCCGTTTCTGAAACCACATCCCTAAAGCACAGATGGGGAGGAAAAAAATTTGTTCCGCACATATTAGAGTCTGGTAAGGTTTTACGCCACAAAGAAAAATGTTTTAAAACATTGATTTTAGTATTTCATTGTTTTTGCTTGTTTTTACATGTGCTTTTAAAGTGTTTTGATGAATGGCAAAAGAGGTCACATACACACTACTGGGCCTCTTCCACTGCGTGGTGCGGTTGTTATGGTTGACGTAGTAGGTCCGGCCCAGGTTATCCACCTTCTCTTCCCAGCCCGGAGGCAGTGGAGGCAGGAGCTGCTGAGGTCTCTGTGAACCTGGGTCTGCGGAGTCTGTCACCTCCCAGCCCTGAGAAGAAGAAAGCGAGAGACAGAGAAATAGAAGTTAAGAGACAAAAGAGTAAGTAAGAGTCAGATGTTCAACAAAAGTAATCATTTTAGTACCAAAAGTTTTCCACAAAAAAAAAAAACATCTAGGGACAATATTTCTAGGGACAAGGGATAAGATCATTTTAATATCAAGGATATTTCAATAAGGAAGCCATACGTCTTGAAGTCAGTGTGCCATTTAAATCTTAAAATCCTGTTCCATCTTAAAATCCTGGTCCACCAAGTTATGATTAGTATTGCAGTTGCTTTGACACTGTAATATCAACTAGCAGAGAGAGAGAAATATTAAACCGAACCGAAAACTGAACAGTGGGAATAGAAGTCTAGAACAGGAAGCTAGAAAGTTAAAGGAAGGAAATGCCAGACAGTCAACCGGTTCAAGCCAAATGGCATACTTTAAAATGGAAAATGCCAAGTAGTCTGTGGGGATGAGAGGATATAAAGCCACTAAAAATCACTAAAAAGCAGGAGAGAAAGCAAGAAAGGAGACATTTAAGTGCGTCTTTTCAGATTTCAAGCCTCTCTGTTATGTGCCAGGGTCTATAAACTTGGATGGTCTACATCTACACACAAAAGTTCCACATCTAATTTAAATCTACATGTTTTGACATTTACTATTTCATATAAGGTCAAGTTTTAGTAATAGTTTTTTGTCTTTTGAAAATGTTCCGTAATTAATTTGGCACTGCCCTTGTTATTAATTTACTTCATCTTGGCATTTCATATTCATCAATTTTAGTTGATTTAATTGATTAAATTAGTTGATTATAAATTTGATTGTCTGAACCAATTATTATTTCCCATAGGGATAGGGCATTATTGATATAATTTATTAAAAATGTCATCTTATCTTTGTTGCTAGAAAAAAAAAAAACTGATTTAACCCTGATTTAAACCTGAAGTAATTTCTTTTTGAGATGAACGCTGAGGGGAAGTGGAGTCATTTAAAGGAGATAAAATATATACATTCTTCCTGCTAATGGGTTGGTTTTACCTCAGCTTCTTCCCTCATCTCGCTGCTTTCCTCTTCATGCCCGCCGTTCTTTGGCATGTAGGCCATTTTCAGTCTCAGGTAGCCTTTCACCCTAGACTTGTGACTACAGGACATAAAAGCATGTCATCACAAAGTCAAGTACAGTCATCATCAGAGTATAGTAAAATATAGTACAGACATCAAAATGTTAACATATTTTGTTTACTTTCCTTAAGTGGTAACTGGATTTATTTAGACCTTAATTACACCAGAATTTAAGCAGAATAATTGTTTGAAATTATTTTAATATTTTGAGAGCCTCAATATCTTTCTTAAATTTTTTATCCATATAGTGACATATAGTGTCATATAGTGTATAGTCAAGTAGAGTAATCAACTGGTATATTAAATATATAGCAAAGTGCACAAGCATTAAGTGTTCCCGTGCAAAATCTTTGACTGTAACTATAGCCACAAAGCATTAAGGGGATTCACTGGTGTTAGTTTGGTAGTTGCACATTTCGTTCTGAAATAAAAAGCGGACAAATTTAAAATGTGCTGTATCGAAGCAAATGTACCGTCCTGTGAATAAGGTAAATAAATGCAACACCAACACATCAGACTGTTGTAACTACAAATATAACACTAAAGTTCACGTACTGTGTACTTGTGAAAGCTGCATAACCACTGACCTTCTTGGACGCAGGAGAAAGTCTTTAAATGTGTACGGCCGCTCCATTGCAGGGTCCTCCGTCTATACAAACAATACAGAAAATAAACAAACATGCATCAGATCTGGGCTAATCTCAGTGCAATCTCACAAAGCATAAATCTATAACAGTCCCAGCCTGGTTGAAGGTGGGGAACGGGGGATATAGACCCTTGGGTGGCGTCCAGCTGTCTTATGCAACACTGTTCTTCCGTTACATTTAAACTGCCCACAGGTTGGATATTCGTGGCTGGTCATTAGTGGCTACAATCTGATGGAAATTGATGGAATTGGCACCTCTGCCAGTGCCCAAAACCAAAACTATGTGAGGAAAGATTGGAGGCCCTGAAGGAAAACGGGAGAGCTTTCCTGTTTGGCAAGTCTAGATCAAACTAGAGGTGAAAAGCATTTAGACTTCAAAACCAGAAAGAACTCAAATCTGCAAGGTATCTTAATAAATAAACACTCCAAGGAAATATATATCCATCTATACATGTCTGATCCAAGTATAGGAAACCACTTTTAAATATTCAGCAATAAGAGCAGGCATAAAAGGAGCGAGTGGTCTGGACTGCAACCATGCAGAAGTGAATAGTAGATATGAAGGCGGCCGCAAGGAAAACAGACCAGACTCCGTGTGTGAGACTAAATATGATATCCAGCACAGAAATGTCACTTAGCCACTGGAAATAGTTTCAAACAAAAACAAGGGTTGTTCCATTCCAAATCTTTTCCTAAATGTCCACTGCAAGAAAACTATCTCTTGCTCAAAAGTTAACTGGAACAAAATGCCATTTTGAAAACCAATGACTTTATCAAGCACAAAGCTTGCCAACACCTGTCTTCTTTGAGACGATGTGTGGTTTGGACTGTTTTGAAGCAATAAGGTATATGAAAGGCTGTGCTATATTGCAACAATATTAGTTACTGTACTAGACTATTTTAAAAACGTTTGTGTTTGAAAATACAAATAATATGCATTGAAAAAATAACACTTTAAGATAGAATAATAATATTTACATATACAATTGTAATCCATGCACACATTCATATATACAGTATCTGTCAAAAGTTTGGAAACATTACCATTTTGTTATGTTTTTGAAATGGGTCTCTAATGCTTACCAAGGCGGCATTTTTTATTTAATCAAAAATACAGTAAAAACAGAAATATTGTGAAATATTATTACAAATTACAAAAGAACTGTTTTCTATTTGAATATATTTTAAAATGTAATTTATTCCTGTGATGCAGTGTCACGTGATCCTTCAGAAATCATTCTAGATTCTAGATTCAAAGATTCAAAGGTTTTTATTTGTCACATACTCATACAAGATGCTGATTTGGTGCTCAGGTAACATTTCTTATTATTATCAGTGTTGAAAACAGTTGTGCTGCTTAACATTTTTGTGGAAATGGTGATACTTTTTTCAGGATTCTCAGAAAACACCACTTTAAATTATAAAATTTTAGGAGTTCCAAGTTACCACAATTTGAGAAGCACTGTACTAGAAGCTAGTGTATCATATCAAAGTTAGAAATTCCAGTATTTTGACAACACAATGGCGTTGTAAAGTGATTAGCTAGGTGGTCAAGTATTTTATGTCATATGTATTTTAACATGAATAGAATGCTGCATTGACCAAACATTATTACATTATTATACTGAATAATGTTGTGGTAGGGGCTAAACGGGGCCACCCTAGAAGTGCGTCTTCTTTTTGTCAGAGTGATTTTTTTTAGTTGGGATAGCCCTCTCAGAAGCAGCCTGTGTGTTTACATTCCAAGCAATTCCCTTTCCACTCCGTACAGGGATATGGGCTTCAACATTTTGAGTTGCTTAATTGCCGTAATGTGACCCTCAATAACTTCCATCTCTTACCCTTTCAGTCAAGAGCTAAAAATTGTTCCTGAAACCAAAAAAAAAGAAAAAGGGAAAAAAAAGCAAACAAGATATCTATTTGAATGTCACAAGAGCACATGAACTTACCGGTAAATGGGTAAGAGGCACATCCACCTGCCCAAGGAAGTCATCTCTGGTCTATATATGAAAGAGAAAGAACAAGAGAGGGCGAGAAGAAATCAAAATAATATAAAAAGTAGTAATGTAGAGTTTTGGCTGTGAAACAGTGACTGACTTCAGCAGGATTTGGCAATGAAAACCACAAAGAGGAGGACAAATACACATCTGTATAACCCAAGAAGAATGAAAATGTGTGCGCGAGAAAGAGAGAGAAAGGAAATACAGTTATAAGGGCAGTTTTCATTTCAAATGCGTCACTTTAAAAAGAGAAAAGCTGACAACCAACCCAATGAGGTGCAGCAGATAAGTAATGAGTAAGGGTCAAAAGTCAGAAGGAGTGTATTAATGTATGAACCGCCAATCACAAGCCTTCAATCCACCCACCAATTCCAATAAGCCAAACTGTGAGATTGTCAGCTGTAATTGTCAGGTAGTTGGGTCAGGGTAGACCAGTAGATTACCTGACCATGGTTGAAATGCCCATTCTTGGACCGATCATGACCAATGTGAGCCTGTGTGTGGAATAAACTTATTAAGACAACAAAGACGAGCACATCCTCGCAATCACCCTAGCAATAAATTAAAATAAATAAATATCATAAATTAAAAAAATGACACCCAGTTAGTCAGCACCAGAGCCTCAGAATGGGTGTAGCTTTCGGACAACAACGCTCATTTATTGTGGAAAGGTTAAGTATGAGTCACTATTTGTGGTGGTGAGTGAAAAACAGGACCACAAATACATTCTCAAGCCCCTATTCATCATGGAAAACCCACCATGTCTGAGACATTCCTCTGATTAAAAGTTAAGTGTTTGAGTCAAATGCCACCAATCCACCAACAGCAGTTGTGAATCACAAACAGAAGCAAAATGAAGCAATTAATTAAACCAAAAGGTATGAAGAAATGACCTAGGAAACTCAATAAGCTAGTTTAATCTTAAAGGTCACATTGCAGAAGAATTAGGTCTTGACAAAGATTCCTGTCACTAAGCAAACTATTTTCCTATCCTTCTGCAATAAAAAAGATGCTCTAAATAAGCAAAAATGATTCAACTGATGTCTTTTAACCACAGCGACTTTGAGACCATTAAGATATCATGTCTTTATGACCCTGAAAACCCTGTTCCCACACAATGGTCTGAGTGTTAAAAATAAATATTTGCTTAGTCATCGTCTATTACAGAGCTGAGTTAGCAGTTGACTTGAGCCGTTAAAGAGGCTGAAATGTGCAGAAACAGAGAAAACAAGCTGAAATCAAGACAGCAGGAAAGTAAGCACCAATAGGCCCATCAGGGAATTAAAGGAATTTCATGGAATACCATGTTGTGCTCTTTACCGGAAGGAGAACTTGTTTATGAAACATTAGCTACATTACTTAGGTCATATAGCTAAGGTTTGCAAAGGTTAGGGTCAGGGGTTATGGCAATAAGACCCAAGAAAAAACTTCCGACAACTGATCTGCAACACTCAGAGGTGCTAAAATAAGACTGGAGCCCCCACAAATTTAGCAACAGGGTTCCTTTCCGAGCCACAACAGTAAGGCACCACCACAGCAATAGGAAATGCTGACAGAGCTAGACTAAATCTCATTTTCTCAAGTTGTTCTTCTCTTACCTCTGAGCACACACAGGCTTTTTAAAGCACCAAATCCTGAGTTCTGCAAGAAAGCTGCCACAGCAGACTTAAGTGAGATTCCCCCCCCCCCCCACCCCCCCTCATTTTGCTTGCTAAAACTTGTGAGACAGCAAACAGTTGCATGTATTAACCTGAGCACTGGCAAGTCAACGGGAAATCCATGCACCCCACAGGGAACAAATGCAATAAATGACGACTGAAATTTGATATAGTTATGTGAAAGCTATTGAATTCTGGAAATTCTGCAAAGCATCTTATTAAAAAGTAGCATTGGTACAGATCTGTATTGTAAAAGTGGATAGTCTTTGTAAACAAGAACTCTACAGGTTATGAGGTATTACAAGCCTTACCTTCAGAGATAATTTAGCAAATGTCATTAAAAGACATGATTGAGGAATTCAAAAGAACAATCATGACAGAAAAAAAGTAAACAGATCTGTGTGAGAGGGGTTCACTTCAGTTGATGAACTCTGCTGCTGGAACATTTGGCTCTTTGACTGACTCATTTCCAGTAAAGTCTTTTGAGCAGGTACTGGAAATATATATGCTGCCGATAGCTACCACGGAAATTGGGCAAGGTATGTGCGTGTGACATTCCTGATTGCGGAATCGGAAGATTCTCGAATGTGGACATCTCAGAGACTCAAGACCTTCCAAAAAGTCCCACTTTCCACATTTCATCAGAAAGATGCTGTTATGAGTTCTGTACATGATAAATACAAGTTCTAGTACTAGTAACTGCTGGTGACAAATTGATGAATGCCACACACTTAAAGTGTGTCAGCACTGCTATGATGAATTGGCATCTAACATGAGCAGGAATGAATCACTGAAGGGGCTTTCAAATCTCAATGGTAACCTGTAGAGAATAACTATAACTAGAATGTGGCATATATAAAAAAGAATTAAATGCTTAAGAAGCAAATAACTCAAAACAAAGCCTTGAGCTTAATCTAACTATTATGCATGGAGATTTTCTATATTTTTCAACAACATACTTTAGCACAGTGCTTGAAAATCTTGGTTTTAAAAAAGTTACTGGAACTAAGAAAAGCAGTACGTGTAACTATATATTAGACCTTAATCACCACAGAACAGCTGTTACTAGAGATGAACGGTGACCCAGGCCAAGGGAGAAAGGCAGCTTTCAAAACCAACAACAACACTTGACACGGGACTAAAGATAGAACAAGCTCCTCTTCAAGAGAGGGAAAAGAGACAAGAGGACATGCCCCTATGAATGAAGCTACATCTGAAAATGCTTTCAGCTTCTGTATATTTTCCACTTCTGAATATCATATTGAGTATAAGAATTTGTATGCTTGTTGGGAAACCAAAGATGTGGTTACGTCTTGCTCCTGGCCCCCATTTTCATGGAATTTTCACTTCCCAGAATGTGGACAAGTCATTCCTGATCCCACCTCCTCTTTCCTGCTACCTCTTCTTTCATCTGTTTTTCCCATTCTCCAGCCACTTAAAAACTATTAAAACACATTTTGCGAGGTTTTCACCTAACTGCATTCTTTGGGTAATGAAACAATGGCATGTTAATAAAGTAGGCCTCAAACGTAAAAATTGAATCAGCACTCAACTTTAGAACCTTAGTTGTAATTACCTGTGGATTGCTGCAGGTAGGCGCCTTTCCAAAGCTAATATCCTGTGCATGGATGGGGCTGTGCTCGCCTCCCTGGCTGAAATAGATCTTAAACTTGGGCTGTCGCGAGTTCTGTTCCTTACTAATTTTGAATGTGCAGCCTTGAGCTCTGTTCTCAACAATCTCACTCTCAGTCTCCATTTCTGAGATCGGGGCATGAAGGTTTGGCATGGATCCGAGGCGTGAAGGAGCTCCTCTGAATTGCAACGGCTGTGAAGCGCTCCTCTCAAGACGGATCCGAGGATACCGCACCAAGCGGCTGCCTTTAGAACCTGTAATGCCTAAATCACTCATGTCAGCTTGAGAAGTAGGGCTTGGGTGCCGTCCTTGGTCCTGTTGAAGCTGGAAGACCAGTCTTTGCATGCCAGGACCTCTGTCTGAGCTTTGCAGGACAGACCAACGGCCATTCTGTCCATCCTCGCTGTATGGCATGATCCTAAACTCCTGGGCATCAGATCCATCTGCAGATCTTCTACGAATACTGAAACCTCCAATGGTAATCCCTTGAGGACTTCCATTGGGTACACTCAAACTAGCATAACCATTTTGTCCATCACATGGCCGGACACAAAAGACTTGCCTCTTAGGTTGGATCGGCTCAGTACCTGGTTGACTTTGTTCCACATTTTGGCAGGATGTGGATTCTACTCCATCGTAAGCTGGAGGTGGAGGTAAGAACCAACTTTCATCAGGCTCAGTGTAGGCTGGAGCTGGATCCTGAGGGTACCCTGGAGGTGGATCACAGGGCAATGCATCTTCTTGAGATGCAGTTGAGCGTTGTAGAGATATCTGGACAGACGTGCTCTTGGTCGTCCGTGGTTCAGTTTGACTCTGGAGCTGTGGGATGAACATGGAAGAGCTTCGCTTTAGAGAGGCGTCCGAAAAAGCAACTGAACCCGACTCCGGGCTTTCGACAAGTCCTCCGTTTCGTGGCTGCACATGGAACATCATGGCCCCTGTGCCACTATAGCCTCTCTCATCTCTGTCTTCCACAGTCCCATTCAGCTGCTCCAACTCTGGTGCAGTGTTACTGCGTCCAGATCCAAAATATAACCGAAGCCGGTGAGACATTCTCCTGTCTGCCTTGATCTGTCTCTGTCCAGCTCTTCCTGGATCTGTCTCACCCACCGTTTAGTGTGTCTGATCCCCTTTTACTCTCCCTCTCTGTCTTGCTCATCCACCCTCTTTTCTTTCTTTCTCTCTCTTTCCCTCACTCACATACAGAGGCTGCGTTTTGTTTCACAGCTACCAATGAAGCGCTGCCAGGGAGCTTAAAAGTTCAACCCACAAGCTTCAGGGAGAGAGAGAGAGAGGGAAAGAGAGAGAGAGAGAGAGAGGGATCTGGAAAGAACGGGAGACGGGGGAAAGAAAAAAACATCCCATGTGTCAAACTGTTCGAGCTGCAGTTCGATAGCGACAGTCAGCAGAAATAGCCCAAGTGGCAAGTTGCATTCCAGGCGTGATTGGATAAGGACGCCTGGTGCTCTTACAAGCAAAGGTGAGGGTAGGGTGGCCAAAGTCACATGATCCAGATGGCACCCACCCTCAGTTCCCGGTTAGACCCAAACAGCACTCTCTCAGCTGCTACTGATCTGTCAGAAGGAACTAGACCGCCGGGGGTGGAATGAGAAAGAGAGGGATCACAGCTGACTCAGGACACACTCTCCACAAGCTCATAATTCTTTGTGCTCATCCTACACACAGGGCACACTGGGCCAAGCCACGTTGGGACATGCTGTGACCCACATCTCAAGCTGGTAAAAGAAGAATTTATCCATACTTCCAAAAACAATCAAACAACACAAAACAAAATGCACACAAAACCCTAATAAATAAGTCCTATATTGGTAAGCAGAAGATAGGATTAGAGGTTTCCCACTATCATTACAGACATTCTTGGAAATACCCAGGAAATGTACATTTGCTGGAGAAATACTACAGCTTTTTATGTTGGGGCCTTTGTATAGAAATGTAATATTTCCCCATCAAGCTTTTTAAGGGCTGGCAAGGCTGAAATGTTCCGTCTGCATTTAAAAAAATACTCAAAGGGAAGTTTTAAACCACAACACAGTCACTCTCTTTCAACACAATGATTCAGGATGCAGCCGAGGGACCATTTAATTAGAACTAGAGAAGACAAAAAAAAAAAATCTACAATCATGAACACTCCGAAAACAAAAACAACAAAGCAATTTACTTTACTTTGTACTTAAAAACCATCTTAAATTGTGCGTAATCTGGAAAAAATAAAAAATAAAACGCTTTTTACCTTTTCTGGAATTTCTTGAAATATGATCAATCACTGACTACAGACAGCCATATTTATCATATATAAGCCAAGTTTTCGTGCTGGCATTTGCTTTTGCACCACAACCATAATCCATAAAATCTGAATCTTTAGATCAGAACAGATATGCAAATATCATAATGATTTGACACAGACTGCTGATTGGCTGAATAAGTTGCTTAAGCCGATGTGAAAACCCAGAGAGATGACACTACACTGTGTCCGTATTCAAACTTGAAGAGACACTGCACAAAGACAGAGCTTTGTCTAAGAAGAAACAGAGGGCAAAGGCACTTAATTGCCAGGAGTGTGAAAGACTTCATGTACATCACTAATGGAATGGAATATATTGTAGGTCAACAACTGTATCCGTGTAATTTAAATGAGACCATTATTAACAATAATGAATATTAATTTTCTGAAGAAAATGTGAGTTGCACTTCACCCAAGCAAAACTCGCCACCACAATTCTAAGAGGTACTGAGCAGTTTAGTAAAAAGTTACAATGTAGTTGCTAGGGTTTTCTGCATGGTTGCTTAGCAAAAAAAAAAAAAGTCTATGATATTCTGAAGTCTTTGGGGGGAATTTTTTCACTTCTCTTTATCATCCGCTATCCAGAAATCACAAGTCTGATAGCTTAATACTGAAGTAAACACCAAACAACATTAGAGTGTGTCTGTGCAGCAACACCAGCCTGACATAAACCGTGAAGTCAGTGCAGTATCTTATTGGATGGAGTGACCGAGACAGACTCCTACTGAAAGAAAGGCCTTGATTGTGAATGTGTGGGCGCTCTCTAAAGGGGGTATTGTTTTGGAGGGCACACATGCCTTGCAGTGGCTGAGCTGTGAACAAAGAACGGAGACATCATGGCGTAAGAATTAGTTTCACAGCACCAAGCATTCTGGGAATTACAACAGAGGGCTTCTAAAGTGCTATCTACTCATAATGACTTTCATAGTATTTACTTAGCTAATACAAAAGACAATTTCTTAAAAACTGTGACATTACAAAACCCTTAATAGCAAACATTTGGCTGAATGATGGTAAACGGGTGTTTTTTGATCTGGCATGTTTTCAAGAAGCACATTCGCTCACCCACACGACTCAGGGATGGTTGTGTCTCCATGACAGCGGTTTTTGGAAGGAAGAAAAATGTAAATCTACAAAAAATGCTATCAATTGTTGTGAACAACCCATCGATCTACATCTTAACAATAAAATTCTCAACGGTCTTCCTCGGATCACAGTAAAATATGCGCCAATCGGTACTGAAACTTGGGAACCACCATGCTGTGAGTCAATTACAGCTAGCTGTCAAACAGATTGAGGATACAAAATGCTTTGTACAAAAGAAAGTGGAATGACAGAGTTGCTTTTACTGAAAAAGCAAGAGAGGGTCAGACAAGCAGAAACTGGAAAAACAGCAAAAAAAACAACGTTACTGATGAGAAGAAAATAAAGAGATGACAGAGCGATGGAAATAGACAGAGAGAATGTACGTGAGAAAGCGTGAAAATCATTAAATCGGTGTTCAGTCAGTGGGACACCATCCATGCTCTCCCTCAGACATATAAGGAAGACGCTCAGATTCTGCTCAGCTCTGGATTGAAACTCGGCCAAAACTCATCACACAGGGGAGACAACAACCATTTCCCTGTGGACTGCAACAACTCATGCGCACACACAACACATCCATCATAGAGTTAGCACAGAGAACAATCCCACCGTCTAATCACAAACCAAATGCTATATTTACTGACATTAGCTGTACTTCAGATCCAGAGCTATAAAATGCACTGTGGTTCTCAACTGGTTTTGCTTCAACCTCAGATTCTACACTGGACATCAATAAAGTACCAAAATGGTAAAATTAACCAAAATGTGCATACATAAAAAAATTGGGGAAGAAACACTTCTTTCTTTTCAAAGATAATAAGCCTTATTATTTGCTTTTAGCATCTTTCCCTTGTTGTTCCCAACCTTATTGTGACCCATTTGTAGGTTGCAACCCACCAGTTGAGAACTACTGGTTTGAAAGATGCAGTTGCACTGTAAACACTATTCTTCACCGGCCACTTACTTTGTGAAGAAGTGGATGAATCGATGTGCTGTAAATGCGACAGATACGATTCTCCGAATTATTTACAATATTTTTAAAATGTACTTTAAATCTACCTGTACATGACTGTAATTTGCAAAACATTACCAATTACGGTAACACTTGAGTATGGGTAACACATTCACTATTAACTACTACTTTTGTCTCCAACTCCTAATTTACTGTTTAATTATTAATAGTTAGTAAGGTAGGTGTTGTAGTGCTTAAGTTTAGGTATTGGGTAGGATTAAGGGATGTAGAATAAGGTCATGCAGAATAAACAGCCAATATCCTAGTAATATGCATGCTAATAAGCAACTAGTTAATAGCGAGAACTGAACCCTAAAATAAAGTGTTACCACAATTACTATAGAGCAAATTTTTAGAGATTTATTAAATTCAGACAATAAAACAGTCTTCACAATTCTTCACAATGTTAAAAAAACTCTCTTTATGACAGATTGGGAACAAAAATGTTCCTAGAGAAAAACTGGTCAATCGGATTTGTAAAAATGAACTCTAAACTGGTTACCGTTTTTTTCCACATCATCTCCCCATTAGAAATACAAATGGTTTGTACTGTAGGTGACTGCATACCAAGCAAAGCAACTGAGCATCGTTGCTATGGGGACACTAATGAAAGGTTTAGCACTGACATTAGTTACATAAAAGTGGAATTTCTTTCATTGTTACACAATTAATACATCATTTAATAATGTATCTATCTTTCAGTGCAGGTCAAACAACTAAAGCAGTCATTTTTTAGACCGTTTTAATGATTCTTTTGGAGATACATTTGAGAGGTGCAAGCTATTTTCAGACTAAATTTTGTAATGAGGAGAAAAAGTGAAAACTGGAGCACCGGAGAACACACAAGCTTTATTCCAAAACCCAGTGAGCTGCCTACTTAGACTGCATAACATGTCAAATAAAGGCATCACAGGTGCTCTCAGTTCTCAAGGGTAAGGCAGCACTGTATCATTTGCTGAAAAGTCAATAGAAATGTTAATTATAAATACAGTTATATTACATTCAATATGAAAAGATAGAGTTAAAAATTGCTTGATTTAATTTTCTATTTTAACTATTGTGTTGGGAGTTGCTGCCCATATAAAGCGTACGATTTCGATGTTCTATGACAATTTTAGTACACTGGCTAGATAAGCGAGTGTTTTCTATTTTCAAAACTTGCATGGGGGATTGGGGGATTGTGGGATTGAAAACATAGGAGGAGCAAACAGTTAGAGTGTCAAAAAGTTAAGAAATGCTCAACTTTAAAAACTTTATGAAAAAAAGCCACTCGGCAGCCAATCACAGTGAAGTGAAGGCAATGACATCTGTCATCATAAGCATTTCAAAATCTGAGTTTCTGGTCAATGTTGTCCTGAAATCACATTGCTAGACATCAGATTTAAATGTGCATGCATTCATTGTGGCAAGGCTGTGGCTCAATAATCAAAAACTGTCAACTGTGCAGTCAGGAATATAGAACTTAACTAAGGCAATTTACTAGGGGTGTAACAATATATCGTGTCACAATATATCGCAATACAAAAATGCAACAATATGTATCGTGGATAGTGAAGATATGTATTGTGTTTAGTTCATCCAAAATAAAATTTACTATGCGCGAAAAAAATTCACGTTTACAGAGTTAGTGTCAGTACTACATTAAACTACTATATCTAATGCATAATAATGCACTGAGGGAATATTTGTGGGTCCTGATAATGCCAAATCTTTTATGTTGCCAGTAAAAAGTGGCCTACAATATTTTAAATACAACTAGTCAGAGTGAAAGCATGTTCGTCTAAAATAACTCTGTTTTCAGCTTCAGAATCATTAATATTGTTATGCTGGTGTCTCTATTGTCCTGTGCTTTG